AAATATGTACAGATTTAAATTGAACATTCTTCTTTTAAAATGTTTTATTAATCAGTCTATCATAAAATTGTTTATTTATAAACTCTTTCATTTATATCTTATCTATTCATATATAATTTTCTTAAGAAACAAAAAAGTATAATATAAAATTCTATCTTTAAGAAGCATCTTAAATTATTGAGGAATTTGGATTGTAGCTTCTTGACATTATTAATCCCATATCACGCACATTTCAATGGCATACCTCAGTTAGGAACTATGTGGAAATTTAAGCATCCACTGATCCCCAAAAAAGTCGAAAAACAACCCTTGCTGCACGATTTACAAACGAGAATTTTGTGGCATCAAACATGCATCACTGAGCCTCATTCACGCACAAATTTTATGCATATGAGTGGCGAGATGATGAAACAAAGCAAATACATAAATTGCAGGCCAGACTGACAAGAGTTGGGAAATGGAAAATGGCAGTGGTAAGCAAGGGGAAAATGTGGAAATGGGAGTGGGAACGGCAGTGGAAATCACAATGAGTCTGTCATATGCGATGTCCAAAAGGAATTTTGTGGTGTTAGACAAAGTACAGCACTCAGTTGTCGGAGAAGAAAATTCCAAAAAAAATGGTATGGAGCTTCTCACAGAAATAATAAAGAGCTGGAAAATGTTAGGGAAAATTAAAAGCCAAGTAGCAGAGTGTTTTTCTGTGTGTGAGAGCGCTGAAAGCTTTATGAGCCATTGCTGGCATCAAAATGTCATTGTAGAAGACATTCGCTCGAAATGGGGAAAATCTGCAAAGGATTTTTGGCGACTTCTGTCTGTGTCTATGCCAGTTTCCTCGTGGCGGTTCAAAGAAAATGGAGAAAAGTCGAGGAAAAGCCGGCAAAGGGTTGCAAAAGCGTTGATGCGTTCATTGACTCCTCCTTCGACTTGGCCATAATTCTTTCGTCGCGAATATTTCGCATAATGCTTACAAGAAAAAAATTTACACGCAATAGATTTTTATGTCCTCCGCCAGAATGCACACTCAACAGCAGTGCGAATTATTCCCCCGAATCCATATATCATTTTTGACTCTGCCGCATTTTTGGGTATCTCATTCAGCTTTTTATACATTCTTTTTTAGCATGCTCTGGTTTGCATTCATCTGCGTGGCTTTATTCAGCATCATCTCGTTGAGCAAGCGGACCTGGCACCGGTTTCAGACCTCGCCAATGGTTATATCCATGGATCGAAATAAGCTGGTCTGGAACACCAGCTTTCCCTCACTGACAGTCTGTCCGCACAAGCGGATCGACGAGCTGAAAGTGGAGGAGTATATACTGTGAGTAGGAAAGCAGTTCCATTCATGATGTCAATAATCTATTAAGTAGGATTTCTGAATTAAATTATGCTTATTGACACCCCACCACAAATGAATTTGGCGGTACACCCGATAACTATACATTTATAGTTACACAATAAGAACTCGTTATAAAAAATATGATATTTGATATGATGAAACTATAAAGATTATTTTCAGTACAGACAGAAAAAAAGTGAAACCCATAACATATATATTTTTACTTATATTATAGTAATGCGCTACAAAAAGCTTTAAATTTAAAGTATGTAAAAATCATATTTGAAGTGTATTTCCTCCGATGCACTCTTGCAGGGCCCATCCGGACCAATTTTTGTCCGAGGAGGATCAAGAGGATTTCCGCGATTTTATTGTGAAACTTGCCAGCCTCACTTACGACAACTTGGAGACGCTGCCGCTGAACAAGTCGTATGGGATTCCCAGTTACAAGTACTTGGACCTGCTCTACGAACTGAAATGGGCCTTCGAGCCGGAAATCAGCAGTGGCGCCGCCGTCAAAATGTTCATCTACGAGACGCAAACGGAGTTTGGCATTTGCCATTCAGTCAACTCGCTGGTGGCTCGCTACAATTCCTTCGAGTGAGTAATTGTTGGCCAGGAAGTGGCTCTGATTTGATGGCTCTTTCCCGGCCACTTGGCTTATTGGCAGCTACTGGCGCTCCGGAGATTGGAGCCTTTTGGACCACGGCGACAGGGTAACAGTTCATCCGCTGGATGGCGAGATTTACGCCCAGATTATAAACCTTTCGACTGCGTACGATGTTTATTTTCACGGGGCAGGAGATGTGCCGAGCATATCCAAACAGAGATATACCTTCCCGGAGAGTGACTATACCACCGTGGAACTCATTGCCCTGGAAATCTATACAAATGAGGAGGCCAGAGCGTGAGTTAAAATCATTATCTTCTAAACGTAATAGAAACTTTTTAAAGATACCGCAAAGACTATAGAAGGGTATATATTTTTGCTCGTTTTTTATTCCCTCTTGCCCTGGGCCTTCACAAAGAAATAGAAAAAGACGAATTCTTCAGATTTCATACTTCTTTAAATTGCTTTCTTCGTCAGAGATACAATTTATGGTGCTTTGAAGATAGTCAAACTACAATTATTTATTAACCTATCTTGTCTGAAGAATTCGCGGTTTTTTGAATAGCCACAGATGTTATTAATTTATGGGGCTTACTTAAATCTCTCTCCATGTTATTTAGTTAATAATTATTTTGTAACATATCCTAAAATTTTGCGGCAGTTTCAGCACCAAGCAAAGGAGCTGTCGCTTCAACTACGAGGCCGAGGAAATGCTGACGGTGCCCATCTACAGCTTTGGCCTCTGTCTCTCCGAGTGCAGAATGTTTTTCGCTCTTCGGGTCTGCGGCTGCATTCCGCACTTCTACCGGAACCGCTGTGGGTATAATCATATTTTCGGGACACAGAGTTGCACTTAATTGGCCCCCATTAAAGTTAACTTTTATGCGCCGGACGGGGATGCATCAAAAGCTGCCCAGTTTTATGGGGCGAATTCGGTCGTAAAATGTTTAAATACTCGTAGTTTAAGTGGCAACTTTAGCACGATTATCTGTCCCGCTCCAATGCACCACATCCGTCTCTTTCTTTTATGTGCTTCCAGTGCGAAACGGTCGAAGGTTGCCTGTTTGCGGGCTGGAGGGCATCGGATGCCTGGTCAAAATTAAACGTGAGTAATTTCCACCGCACCAAGAACATGCAAATTTTTAACCTGGGCCGGAAATTCGATTTCGGTCAGAAAAAATGGAGAGCATTTTCCGAGAACGTGACCATAATTTAATTTTTCAGGGGGTGGTCAAAAGTCAAGGTTGGAAATAGACAACCTGTTGCGTAATTGAAATGATGGAAGTAATTTGCTAGGGGAGAAGAGATTATCGGACAGGTTGACATTGATAAGCTGGATAAATGTTTTGACCGGAAAAGCTTGTGTTTTATTTGAATATTAAGTTTAGGAATATTAAGTTTGGAGAGTATAAAAAAAGAATATTAGTTTAACGGACGACAGATTTTTAAATGTAATATTTTTTGAAAATTTTATATTTTGTTGAAATTTTATGAGGTAAATAAGTTCAAAGTTTTTCTGAGGTTAAATTATATTTTTGATAGAACTATTTTTACCGAAAAAAAAGTTCTTCAAAAAACCTATTTAAAAAAGCTCTATCAATTTTGTGTCTATAATTTTCTAGAAAGCATACTTTAGAAACTCAAATTCAAACTGGTTTGTAATATATTCAATTCTTTAACCACACAGGCGAGATAATCTCCTTAAAATCGGAAAAATACAAAATCAATTGCAATTGTTTGGCCAACTGTGATGACTCCAACTTCTTTGTGCAGTCCTACGTAAGTACATCGCACATAATAATAAAAATAAATGAAAAAATGGCGAACGCCCTATTAAAAAATATAAAGTAAACTTTAACTGTAAAAATGTTTATGGCGAACAGAAGCGCCATCTAGTGCTCGTTAAGTGGCAACTGCAGACGCCGCTGCGTCGCGCATTTCAAGTGGAAAAATGCCCGGAAAACTGGGGAAAATCCGCCGGAGAAAAGCGGAGCAAGGCGGAGGGGCATTTTGCCTTAAACAAACATCAAAATTGTAGTCCGGGCCGTAAAAAATAATAAGCGCAGAAGTTGCAGGAACTGGGCGCCTTGAAATATGCAATTATTTTGGGGATGAGGTGTACGAAAAGGGGCGGGAAAACCAAAAGTTTTGTTTAACTTTTTTTCGCGCTGTGTGCGGCGAAAGTTTTTACATTTAATAATAATTTTTGCTTACTTGCCTTGTTACCAGAATACTGATGATGATGTTGTTCCCATTTAGCTTTTCTTTCACTTATCTGCTTATCTGTATATATTTCGGAATTTTCTCTGTATTTTCCGGCTTATCTTCAGCGTTCGCGTGTCTGGTTTCTGGGCGCTAATTTACAATGGGGTATTGTGGAATATCCCAAGATGCAACTGCGCCGCGACGTCCTCTTCTCCTTCGCAGATGTTTTGGGTAAGTTTTTCCCTCTTATCTAAACTTTGGGACTCACTTGGGTCACTCGATTTCACTTTCCACTTTCGCAGTTTACATCGGCGGCCTTGTTGGATTTTTCCTGGGTTGCAGCGCCCTGAGCTTTACGGAAATCCTCTACTATTTTACAGCACGATTTGTGCGCCGCATGTTTCTCAGTTAATTCAGAGCAGCTTGTAAACTATGCTAAAATAATCTATTTAACTTCTTAATTAAAGGAAAATGAAATGAAATATAAACATCTGTATCACAACCTCTTAAACTAAGTCAATTATAGTCATATTAACTTTTCTTTAAATTTAAGGGAATACGTTACTCCGTTTTAGAAGATCTTAACAATATTAATATAAAAGTGTACACTTTTTAGAATCCCCAAGGATACAATATAAATACAATATTGTAACTTTTTTAACGATGTTTTTAGAATAATTTTGAATTTGGACTTGGTTTATTTTATCAATTTAACTGATATTTATATTATCAAACCATATCGAGCTTAGTGTGCCATTCCTAGTGAATAGTTCTTATACTTGTTAACCCTTATGCAGTTACAAAGATAATATCAAATCAACATTTGATGTTTCGTCATGTTTACTTAGTTATTTTCTTTAATAAAATATTTTTATTTTTTAAAGTGCTGCAGCACTGTGTGATTCTCGAACTTAGTCACTCAAGTAGTCGTCGGTTATGCCAGAGGCCGCCTTAATCTCCTCCCAGCGTTCTGTGAACGAGGTTCCCTCTCTGTTTGACTCGAAGTCCTCTCGTCCTTCGGGAATCGGAGGTGGCTTGACGGCCACATGTTTGTGTATGAAGAAATCACAGCGTTTGCAGTAGTTAGTGATCTTATCTCGGGGCTCGAAATTCGTACTGCAGATTAAACATACTTTGGGTGGCAAGCGACAGCGGAAGCACCGGTGTTCCTTATCCGAGAGATCCTTCCACAGGTATCGTTGGAAGCAAACGCTGCACATGTACAGCCTGTTGTCGGGCGATTCCATATCTGTGGGTCACAGGAAATATAATACGTAATAGATCCATAAAATAAGATGAAAAACAAACCGATAAGAATTGATATTAATTCAACGTTGTTTAAAATATTCACAACTTACTGCGGAGAAGTGAAAACCAAAGCCTTCTGAATTTGAATGAAAATGTCATTAACATGTATAGCCTACCAATTTGTTTGAAAAAGTACTATAGTGTGGTGACGGCTTTTTAACGCCATTTTCCAGATCCAGGGGTCCAACTTATTGTGTTATTTTGCGTGTAAGCCAGTATTATCAATTCTATTTTCGCAAAGCCAATCTGAACGATCCCACGGAGATATCCCACACTTGAGTCTGCCTAATCACGCCAACTGCCCCACCATCTTTTTATTGGCCAAACATAAACAGTCGCGCCGGCCTAATCAAAAATAAAATACAATTTGTGCAAAGTTGGCGAAAATCATACCGAATCTCCCGATATTTCCACCTCATCATCATCGAACCTTCATTGTCCATGTTCCGTCGCCGGCATTTCAATGAACTGTTTGCTCCTTCAGTCGAATAGAAAGAGAAAGAGAGGGTGGGACCTGTCAGAAAAGGACGACAAATTGCGCTCCCTTTGTATTTTTGCCAACCTTGTCGGATTTTATTATTGGGGTCGACGGCAGACATTGAAATGAACTTTTCGTCCGTCCACATGTTATGTGTGCTTAATATTTGCCGAATTATTTGAAGTAAGTTGTTTTGCGCCAGCTATTATTTGTTCGGAAAGTCGTACAGTCTGGCTTCTATACACATATAAGTAACAGGGCACAAAAAAATAAATATTTAATTTTTTAAATTAGTACAAAACAAGATATTACATAAGAAGAATTTAAATTATAAACAAATTTTGAGTCAAGGTGGACAGTTCTATATATAATCTTGGTCTGTCAATAACATTTTCAGAGTATACAGACAAATGATATTTCCTTTTTAAACCAAATACAAATATAATTCATATTTCATAAAATTTATAAAAACTAATTATGAATATTACTCCGCATCAAATTTCGTTGATCAATTACTACAAATCAAACTACAGAAGCTTGACTGTATTTTTATATACACCCCCTGGAAGTCTCATCTATTGTTTTTGGTCTTGACTTTTGCACAACTGAGTGAACTGTGACCGTCAACAAATGCCAAAAACTATGGCTAAGAAAGCTCATGAATTTATGCTGCTCCTTCTGCAACTTCCTTTTCGTTTTTGCGACGTCATCAATAAATGAGTGAGAAATGGTCGAATGAAAATGGGTCATCGAAAGGGGGGGAAATATTACTTGCTGTAAGCTTCGGTTGATCTGCTCCCAGATTCAAAGTTTTCATCTGCCACACATAACAATGGGAAAATCTACATTTCAATGGCTTCATACTTTTTATGCAAAACCGCACTCTCCCTTTCGCACACCCTCTAGCTGTCTCCCTCCCGCAACCGAATCTCAAAGGAATTGTCAAAGAGTGTGGATTTTTTGCACCTTTGCTGGTGGAATTGGAAAAAAGGGGGCGTGGAAAACCACAATCCACATGAGATTTTTCTCGCCACCGGCGGCTGCATTTTAAATGAGTAAGCGAAAGGGACGCTTATTGAGGTTTGGGTGCGAGATCCGGGAGCTGCGTATTTCGTACTACCCAACTTTGCACTTTGAAGTTTTGGGGGCTGAAAGGGTGGTCACATAAATTTGGGAATTATTGAAATTTATTGTTCAAAATTGCCATTGGCGTGAACAAAATGAGGAGTGGGAGAGCTCAAGGTATAAGAAGATCTTAAAATAAAATAGATAAGATACCCATTTGGGAACCTGCTAAAGACTTCCATTGTTCGTTTACCCCAAAAATTGCAGCTGTTGTAAACTTTCCTTGAGAATTGATAAATTATCTACGTACATACATTTTGTTTGCGAACATTTTTTTGTGAAAAATACATTTTAATCAAAGAAAGTATTACACAATTAATCAAATCAAATTATTCTTATAATTTGAACCATTTAATTTTTGCTAGTTTAAAAAAAAAACATATTATTTTAAATATGTAGAAATAATCTCTGGGATGTTTATAGTAGTTTTAAAAAACAAAGCGATTTACATTTACATTGTCTGTAATTTCTGTAGACTATTGGAACTCGTATGGATAAATACAACCCTTTTATATTATTTGGGATAATACCAATGATTTCAAAGGTTACTTTTTGAAATTTTTCGTCCCCACGTTTTTGAAGGTACAAATTATTCTGATCGATTGCCCTATCAACCTTTTTATATACAAAACCAAATTTAATTTTAAATATTCTCTGTAATTTTCACTGTGGTTTTAAATAAAAAGGCGATATAAACTTATATTGGGGACATACAATGTTGAATTAGTAGTTTTATTTTGCCGATCAAGGACTTAGTTTGATGAAAACGGAAATACGATTGCTGGCATAAATTACCATAATGTATATTTTAAAATATTGCCCTATATTTTGTTCATTTTTTATCCAGTGGTTGGTCAAAAATTAAAAATAACAATGTTACTATTTTTTAATTTGAATTGCCGTTATTGCCAAAACAAAATCCAATTAGCAATTAGAGATGGCCAAAAAATCAAAGGATAGGTTCATGTATCCGCTATGTCGCAAGCGGCCTATTTTATATGGCGGGAGGGTGTCACGGCTAAGTTAGCGAGGACACCAGCCATGTGGTATATTTATAATAATAATTTGGTATATGCTAAAATATACCGACAGAGATTCACATACGGTCTTACTAAAATGTTGGGAGGGTGACAAGGCTAAGTTAGCGGAGACTCGTTCCTGGTAGTTTAGTGTGGCCGCTTTGAACATTATTCATCGATGTTTTTGGTATACGTAATCGATATTGTGTCATCGATATTTTTCCATCTCTAGCGGACTTGTGGAAATTTCCGCAAAATAAAAATAAAAATAGAAATTGCTCTGCCAACTAGCAAGCGATGCACAAAGGGGCGCCACCTTGGCAAGTGGGCGGTGCCAACGAGGCCGAGACTCCCGCAGAGGGAGCAGAAGAAGAAGAGGCTGCGTCCACGAAACAACTACAACCACTGATAAGAAGTGAAAGGTGGTGGTCTTGCAGTCGCAGGATAATCTTCCTGGAACTCCTGATCCTGCTCCTCACCGCGATTCCCCTGCCCTCGAGCAATGCCACCCACATCAGCGGGCAGTTCCAGACGGAGGACTTCTTCCAGTTCCTGGTGAAATTCGGGTTCAACAAGGCGGATCCCACGAGACGAAATGCCTTTGGATATATCTACGGCAACATCACGTCGCCGGATAAGTATGGGGTTCCCCTCACCCTCGTCGTCCTGGACAGGAGCACCTTCCTCGAGTTCTACGGGAATCGCAGTCAGCGGAGCAGGGAGGCCGCCTGCACGGGCATGTTCTCCCGCCTCCAGAGAATCGCCTACGACTCCACGTGCAATCCCCGTGCCAAAAGAGACTTCCTGCGACACGTCCCCTGTCCTGTCAATCAGCTATGCAGCGATGAGGATGCACCCGGTAACGTCGTCCCGGGATCGCAGTTCACATATGTTATCAATCTGGAGGCGGAACCAAGGTGGGTGCACTGTGTTCTATCAGTAAATGTGATTATGAAAATAGAGCTTGATATTTATTTTACCCTCTCCTAACTAATTCCCAACATTTCCCCGACAGATTCTGGTACCTCTCCCTGGTGGCCTGCTATCAGAACCAGAGCACCTGCCAGTGGCACGCCCACGAGAGCCTGCCCAGATTGAGTAAACTCAGCAGCAACCTTCTGAACACCCTGCACTACGACATCCACCTGGTCAACTTACACCCAAACAATTCGGCCGCTCATCCACTGACCTACCAGTACTCGTACGATCAGCAGAACCTTCTGGAGATGTACCTCGTGTTCATGCTCGTCTATATTGTGCTGCTGCCCATGCAAATTTACGCAGTGCGGCGGCAGAAGCATCCAGTGACCAAGTTGTTCACCCTTAGTCTGTTGAGCGAGTTCGTTAGTTTGGCACTGATCACCGCCCATCTGATTCACTATGCGGCCAATGGAGTGGGAGAGCCGAGATTGCAAGCGGCGGGAGATGTTTTGGACATTCTGAGCCGCACCACCTTCATGCTGATCCTGTTGCTATTGGCCAAAGGTTGGGCTGTAACTAGGCAACAAATAAGCAGAACTGGTTGGATCATCCTAATGTCCATCTGGGTGCCATACTGCGCGTTTCACGTGTTCCTTTACATCTGGGATAGGGTGAGTAGTTCGAAATAACTAAAATATTTATTAAATTAAATTTACATCAACATTTACTTGTTTGCAGACGGAAGTCGATGTGGTTTCCGACATCGACGAATACCAGACCTGGCCCGGCTGGATAGTCCTAATACTACGGTGGGTAATTTAAGCTCAGTTAAAACAAACATACTCGTATTCCTAATTCACACTATCAATTCACAGCACCTCCTTCATGATGTGGTTCCTTTACGAGCTGCGCAACACAATGAAGTACGAGCACTCCACGAAGAAACTTGACTTCCTGCTGCATCTGGGCGCCTCCAGTTTGGTGTGGTTCATCTACCTGCCCATCGTTGCCATTGTGGCGCTGCAGGTCAGCCCCATGTGGCGCTACAAGCTGCTGCAGGGCATCACTAACTCGGCCGATTGCATGGCCTATTGTGTGATGACGGGACTGTTGTGGCCACATCGAGCGGGCCAATATCTGCTCCTGGCGGGCACCAAGTATGCGGGTAAGTTTCCCTGATTCATTGTGGAGTTACGAGATTTCACGATGTGGATTTTTAAAGGCATGGACGAGTTGGACGAGTTCAACGAAGCGCCCCACATTGTCAGAGAGCGTGAGAGGCGTCGCAATTCCCCGCCCGATGATATTTCCATTGGAACGGGGAGCGGCGGAGGTCGGGGGATGGTGCTGTCCACAAGCATTCCACATTCGCTGAACGGCGATGCCTGCAATGATCTTCTGGAGGCGGAAGATCTCGACGCCGAGCTGCTCACCGATCTTAACAAAAACAGCCATATTGTGGCGTAGACGCAACGGGTTAATTACTAGCTGTAGAAGTCAATTGTGCTAAATGAAACACGGAATGTTAATCATCCTAATTAATCATACATATAACTAGATTAAAGTGGGTTGATTTTTTCGACAAGGTATTTTAAAAGTAGAAACTAACGTTTGCTAGTTAAAATCTTAGGACTTTGGTTGTGAAAAAGGAAGTTTTATTATATATTGAATAATAGAAGTATATTCCTGTTAATTCTCTGGTAACCAACAAAACATAAGTTAAATCTGAACTAAAGTAAATGTAAACATGACCATCTAATGAATGATATTAAATAATTGGCCATATATTTCTGTATCGAAATACGTTTCCTAAAAGTGAGAGCAAACCAGATACTACTTTTCGCCCCTTCCGTTTTCGAATGTCTAAAAGTCGGCCCACCATAACCTAGTTATAAACTTATCTGCGTGTATATTCCATATAGTGTGTACCACTTACAACGAAGTCAGAGCGAGTGCAAAATATGCATCAGAGATTGTTGTGTGATTTTATGTAATATGCTTGAATTTATTATTAGTTTCTAGTTAACGCATAGGAGAACGATTCGATACAATACGCTTCAGCATCAACATTTCGTTGCGGTAGTTATCGCATAAGCTTACATTTTAACGAACTACCGACTACCTACTAAGATAAGCATAGATTCCCAAACAACCAAGCGGTATTTTGATAAGAACAAACCAAACACACGAGCCAACGTCTATAGAAAACCACTTGAAATGCTAAAAGAAAGATAGCGAAATAAATGAATCATTTTTAGATAAGTACTTCAAGAGGCGACTTTGATTTGTTTTCTGCTACTGTAGAGCTTCGGCCAAGTTTTACCACGTAGAGTGTAGAACGGGTTGCATGTCCTATCCTAGTTCTATAATCCCTGGAGCCTTTTTGGTTTTACCTTTCACGCAAATATCTATGTAGCTGGCCTTAGTTCCTGTTCAATCCCCCAACAAAATGGTTCGATTCTCCCTCCTGCGGATTTATTTCGAAGTGAGTCGCTTGATAGGACTCTGCAATCTACACTACGACTCCCGGAATAATCGATTTATCCTCAACCATGTGCCCACTGTGATTTACTGCCTCCTTCTGAATGTGGCCTATCTTCTGATCCTGCCATTTGCCTTGGCCCTTCTAACTGGCAATGTTTACGATTGCAAAACTATGGGAATGTTCGGAGTGGTCTATAATGTGGTGGCTCTGACCAAACTCCTGACCATGCTTTTCCTAATGTTCAGTGTTTGGATGAAGAGGCGTCGGCTTCAGCAGTTGGGAAATGATCTGATGAAAATGCTGCACAAATTCCGGTTTGCTATTAAAAGCGATTGCAGGAAGAGATGTCTGTGCAAGGTATTGCTGACCAGTTCCCGATTTGTGATCCTCGCGCAGCAGCTCCTGACCCGAGACTCCTTGGTCCATTGCGACAATGACACCAGTTTCAGGAGAGCTATGGTTCCGTACCATATGGCTTCAGTGGTGTACGCTTTAATATTGATTCTACTAATGAGCTATGTGGACTTGACGGTCTACATCATCCAGGTGGCCGGGAACTGGCTGTTGGTAAACATGGCCCAGAGAGTCCAGGAAATGATCCAGGATCTGGAGGTCTTGCCCGAACGAATGGGTGCTCCCCGAGAGATGGGGTTGAGGCAAGTCCTTCCCGCCTGGCGCAAGCTTTGGAAGCACTGCATCCATTTGGACGAGGTTCTGAAGCATATTGTTGATATCTTCCAGTGGCAGCTACTCTTCAATCTGCTAAGCACCTATATTTTCCATATAGCCATTTTGTTTCGACTGTGGATTTACCTTGAGTTCGATACAACTTTTCATATATGGAAAGGCATCTTGTATGTTGTTCTGTTTCTCACTCATCACGCCGAGATCATAATGCAGTTTTCCATTTTTGAGATCAATCGCTGGAAGTGGTTGGAGCTCCGTGATCTTTTGGTAAAACTATGTGATGCCAATTTTTCGGCCATCCAATATAGAAACAGTCAGGGATTGATTCTCTCCAGACAGGTAAATATTCCAAATTAATTTGATAAGCTCTTTACAAATTTTAAACTTAGTTAGAGTTCTCAATCTTGTATCTCAACCGGAAACTTCAACTGAATCCAAAACGTGTGAGACGCCTTCACATCGTAGGATTTTTCGACCTAAGTAACTCATCGGTTCATCAAATGTCCAGAAACATAATCACCAATGTTTTGGTTCTTTGTCAGATTGCCTACAAAATATATGGTTGAAAAATATACAATACATATCAATCATTGATGCATTGATGATAAAGTATCTACATGCATTCTACATGATTTATACGTGAAGCCTACATTAACTTTCATCAATTGTTCATCAACCTTACATGCATTATACAACATTATTACATCAATTTTACTTTAATTTTACATCAATTGTAATCAATTATACATAAATGAACATTCATTTTACATCACGTTTATATACATCTTACATCAATGTTAAATTTAGTCTATAATTTTATACGGGCGTTAAAATCAAAAGACCTTAAATTGAAATTTAACAAAGTTTCATTTTCTATCATGTAACTAAAAAAACGTGTTTGAGATTTAATTTTTATGAGCCTTTATTTTAACTCTTTTATAGTTAAAAATTAATGTAACAAAACACAAAATATAAATAAAAAGACTTTTTTATAGTAAAAAGATTTTGTAACGAAAAAGGGCAATTATGTATTTTCCATAAATTGAAGAAATTATCCGCTAGAAACCGAAAAAAATTGTCCTTCGAGTTTCACTTTATAAACACACCCCATAACTTCAACTCCTGAAAGCTTTCGAAGGCCATAAAATAAAGTCCTGAAAGCTTTGTATATTTGAAACCAAGGTCGCAACCAATTTTAAAGGGAACGGAAAATTTGCATCTACAAAATGGGGCTCCGGCATAGGCAATTAGAAATCGTTAAAGATGCCTAATTAATCGATACGGAAATAAGTTCTTCATCTATATCATCTAGTTCAAGCTCCTTTTCCTTTCTACCACTTCACTTTAAAACTAGTCATGGGTGGAGAAGACCTTTTAAAAGTTATTTTAAGAAAAAGAAAAAAGGTTCAATTTAAGTTGGACGGGACGATTTTGGCCGTTAACGCATTAGGAGGTTCGAAAAACTGAAATGAATTAGTTAACATAATTTCCGAGCCTAGTCGAATTGTGCTCTAGAAACCCGTATAAAACCTATAAAGCCCAACAAGCGGTTCATCGCTGAATTTTTGAATTTTATTCGATTTTACTTAAAAAGTTAAATTATTGATATATATATTTTTCCTGGATCTAAGCTTCCCCTCTAAACGTGAGATTGGTTGCTGATCAAATGTGTGAGGTTCTGCGGGTGGTTTGGCTGTTGTTGCCCCTTCAAGTCGAATTGCATAAGGATAATGACGTTGCTCAGAATCGAGGCTATAAAAGTAAGGCAAAACGGTTTGTCCAGCTCCACAAGCCCGCAGATTTTGATGACCAAATGGTTTCGCTTCAGCTCCATGGTAAAAATGTCCAACTAAAAATAATAGAATTCAAAATATTTACACTAAATGTTATTTAATCGAAGGACTCGCCTCCCGTTGAAGCGTTTTATTCACGCTCGGCAGATCGCTAAATTGCCTAATTGTTTGGCCAGTGTTGTTGCAGGATGTCACCACTTTGTCCAGCATTTCCATGAACATTAGGGTTCCTAGGATGTTAAATAAAATTAATCCATTTCCACATACTACCCCCCAACCATCGGATTTGATGGTTTCGTTGCTGATCTGGACAGCATGATAAAGGATATTTATTGTGGCCAGGAACATGTCGATAAACACCGCGGTATTAATTACATTATAGATTCCAAATATAGATCTGGCCAACTGAAGGGTTTCCAAGTGCATAGTGGCTATGGATCGCAAGGCTTTTCGTTTCTTAGCTCTTCTCTTATTCCTATGAAGGCTGTTTAATGCTAGGTGAATTACCATGAACTGATGATTTAGCAGTATGAGTAACCCATAGAACCCCATTTTTACTGCGAGGAAGTGCAGGAAGTGTATGAGCCTTATACTTAAAGCCAATAAACTCCGTTTGTTAACCACACTCAGTAATTGATACTGTACCAGAGCGGAGAACATAAAAGTCGCATAGAGCACCATTATTTCTTGGATCATTGTCCTGGCCAGTGATATTTGGAGGTCTTTAAGATCTTGCTTATTCACTATGGCATCCATTATGTTTCTGAACCGTTTCCAATATATCAGCGTGTTCTTGTAGAGCTGAATGATCTTCCGGCGCTTTAGCCAAATGGTTAAGTAGCAGCACAAGACAGACATCAAGCGTCGAAAAATCATCACAAAAAAGTTTATTTGCAGGACTATGTTGTACTTCATATAGCCCTCTAGTAGCACCCGAGGAACCATGAAGTATATGTTCAAAAACATAAATGTGCTAGTAAATAAACTGTATAGAAGGTAAGTCCGCGAAAGTTTATCCAAGCGAATGGTGTCCTTGAAGGAGCGTATCCTTAAAGTAGTGCCCATTAGGGCAAAGAACACGGAATGGTGGTACACCAAGTTCATCACGCGACCCAGTTTCGAATGCAACATGTCAAAATGGAGGTGTCCAGGTAACTGGCCAAGTTCTGAACTCGAAAAAACAAACTAATTAGGTGAAAGTCCATTGCGGTTTGAGGGGAAGGCGATGGGTTGCACGCTTAACCGATTTCCGGCTGGATAGTGGAGGTCCCATCGATGGCAGGACAGTTGACAGTCGTCCTTTGCCGGCTGTGGTTGTCCATCATGCTGCTGAAATCCTTCTACATATACACAGTTTGTTGTGGTCTGGTGCCGGCTCCCTTGCGAAAGAGAAAGTTCCTTACGGGTCGCGCGCTGAGGTGGTACCTCCTCTATACGGCCTGTCTGCATGGAGTTCTCCTCATCCTCCTGCCCTTCACATTTCCCCAGTACATGTACGATGAAAGCTACATGAGCAGCAATCTAGTGCTTCAGTGGGTCTTCAATTTAACCAATATCACCCGTATAATGGCCATGTTTTCGGGCGGTCTTATGATGTGGTTCAAAAGAAAGAGACTCCTGGAATTGGGTGAAAGATTACTAAGTCACTGCCTGAAGTGCAGAAAACTGGAGGATCATTCCAAAAAGTATACCAAGTTGCGAAAGAGAATTCGAGGAGTACTTGGCCAGATGTTTCTCGTCGCGAACTTCAGCCTTTTGGGGGGCGCTCTAATCCTGATGGAAATCGATACAGATCATGGGTTCGGCAAAGTATCCATGATTATGACGCACGTAATCCAATATACATATATAGTCATTATGATGGCGGGTATATGTGTGATCCTGGTAATCCTCCACTGGCAAAGAGAGCGGGTGCATATAGCTCTGAAGAATCTTAGTCTGTTCCTGAATCATGAAGAGCGTAATGCCCTAGTTTTATCGGAAAACAATGCCAAAAAGACCCTGAACCACCTGCGTAATCTCTTCCATCTTTTTGCGGAAAATCAGCGACTCATTATTTTAGTTTTTGAAACCTTTGACATCCCTATCGCTCTATTGCTGTTGAAAATGTTTGTAACAAATGTAAATCTGGTTTATCATGGAGTGCAGTTTGGTAACGAATCTATAGAAACATCATTTTTCACCAGAACCCTGGGGCAGTGGGTGCTAATTTCTCATTACTGGAGTGCGGTTCTGGTGATGAATGTTGTGGATGATGTGACCCGTAGAAGTGACCTCAAAATGGGAAACCGCTTGCGGGAATTCAGTCACCTGGAGCTGGTTAAAAGGGACTTTCAATTGGAGGTAGTAAACTTGAGCTAAAATATATTTTAAATTAATAATATTTCTTATAGCTGGAACTATTCTCCGATCACCTGCGTTGTCATCCGGCGACTTATAAGGTCTGCGGACTATTTGTTTTCAATAAGCAAACGAGTTTGGTTTATTTTTTCTACGTCCTGGTTCAAGTTTTGGTGCTTGTACAATTTGATTTAAAGAATAAAGTCAATGAAAGGCTTTAGAAAAATTAAAACATTTTTTTGGAAAACACATTAATGGGATAAATAGTGAAATATTTAAAATGTGTTCTTTTCCAACCGTTCCTAAATAACTGAAAATAGGTTAAAGGCGCGATCCACAAGGAACTGCACAAACTTATGGTAAATTCGATCGGTTTGGTATTTAAAAAAAAAACGCAGAATACGTAAAGTTGTATTATTTAGTTTGGGAATATACATATAAGTATCCACATAACTTACGCGTGTTTTAAAGCTAGTTACAAACCATAATAGTAATTAATTATTAAAATCAATTAATAAAATGTGCTTTCGACCGCTGTTGAGCTACAACAAAAACACAGAATGCGAATCACGTGGAGTGAGAAAAACTTGAGACTTCCTAGGAAATATGTACATATGTAATCAAGGTGGGTCATCAATTATACATACAAAAATAAATATGTACATAGAGTGCCAAAAATTATATGTATTATAATTCGCCCTGAAGCAAGGACATATTCCGCAACCAAGAAAATTTCAATAAGTCCATACGGTCCATACAAAATAACACCATATGTGGGCACTGAGGGAAAAATCGAGCAACTGTGGTCAGCAAATGGAGATTTCACAATGGTGTGAACATAATACATGTATAATCTGGTTTGTTTTATGTCGATTAATAGGAATTAAAGATATATTAATTCGTAAAATATGAAAACATTTGTTACTCTTCAGTTTGGGAAAACAAATGTGTTTATTCTTCAATACAAAAATCCTGAAGATTTAAAACTAAAAGAATTAATGAAGATTTTTATTTTATAACCCAGAACAGAATGGAAAATTTCCAGAACGAATGGGTTATTTTCTTGCTGTGCAGTTAATACCATGTAGCGAAACCTCTTTGTCTGCTAACAAATCAAATTTAATCAAGCTCTCAGGAAGTCAGGCCCCCGAGCAGGATTTAGCCATTAAATCTGGCCTGCGGGGCACAAAACTATCCGATAGCCTAAGCCGCTCCTTTTGCCCCTTACCGCCTCTTGTGGTTCGATATTCCTCGGCTGCTTTTTGTATTAATTCCAATTATACGCACGACTGGGGAATTTCCATTTGGACTGAAAGGATTTCGGGTCATTATGAGCTCCTACTTCATCATTCTTCCTTCGCCCCGCTCCTGCCACTTCCTCGTCCTTCGATCGTATTGTTTTTGGGCCCGAACTACCCGAAGATGGGGCGGGATGGGGTTAATTGGCCAAGGTTTTGTGTATCGATTGCAAACTGTGCTGGGGATTGTGATTGTGACATGGCCGAAACCACAAAACGAGAGCAAACACGATTTCTTTTGGTAACTAATTAGCAAACTGGGTAAGTTTATTTGGCAAACAAGCCACTTTTCCCCCTCCTTTGGGCTGCTTTAATTAACCCTTTGACAGTAATAAACAGAAATGAGAATTATGAAAATGGGCAAAAATAGGGCAGATAAATTAGCAATTT